GTTCCAAATTGAAAGCATAAACTGCTTATATATGAACGCCGGGAGTCTACTAAACAAATAAGCAACGCTAATAAGGCCCATCTGATCGAAATATCTGGAACCTGGATATCTTCTCAGTTCTCGGACCATGAGTTAGCATTACCTGGAATGTCCTTGTTCCGCAACGACAGAAAATCAAGAATTGGGTGCGGAGTAGCCGTTTGCATACGTTGTTGCTTGGAGGTGCACCAAGTTTATAACCTCGAGTTTAACAATCTTGAGGAACCCATATGGTGCTCTGTAAGATCGTCCAGTACTTCGAGGTGTCGAGTCGGAGTCATTTACAGGAAGTCAGCTGCCGACATCGAATACGATATTCGTATGCTGGAAGGACTATCCCACTCTACTGGTCTAGGTTTCACACACATCCTGATTCTAAGGGACTTCAATCTACCTAGAGTCAACTTTGTGGTACACACGGATACTGGAGGCGATGCCTAAATTGAAGCTCATCGATGACTTGGGATTATACGAAAATGTGAGGTCGGCAAATCGTTGGAGAAACAGTTAGACACCATCGCGTTTAGACTGTGTATTTACAGAAGAAGAATTTCTAGTTGACAACCTCTCAATCCTGACTCTCTTTAGGAAACGCGATCACGCCGTTGTAGCTTTCAGTTTTATCAGCAAAACTGTACCAAGACATCCCACCAACTACAAGTGCTGCAATTTCAAACGGTTGAATCTGTCAGCTTTATAGGAATACCTACAACATGTGGATTGGGATATTCACCTCAGCTCGATGTGGATACTCATTGGGACTTCTTACTGCACACGCTCGCATGTGCTACAAAGCATTCAGTTCCACAAACGGTCCTCGAAAGCTACAAACAATCTAAAATCATCAAGAACCGCACTCTTGGCCTACTAAGGCGGAATACAAACGAACTGACAACGATGGAGCGTGCAGGCAATATCAACATATATGGAACATATGCACGAAGGCTGTAAGAGAAGACAGGCTTCAGTACCAGACAAAGCTTATGGACAAATTTGCCTCTAATCCTAAAAACTTATTCCATTATGCAGCCTCTCTTCGTCAGGCCAAAACTGGAGTTTCCCAACTGCTAGGTCTTAACGGCCCGACCAAGAACGATGGAGACGCCGCCAAACTTCCGACTGAACATTACTCCCAGACATTTCAACCGATTGACATCAACTATACTGGCGTTACTGACCAGCAAACATGATGGTGAAGAGATAACTTCAATCCACCCATGTCTGTAAGGCAGAACATTTTGTTTAATTACGGCTCCTTATGGTTTAGTGAGATGTCACGAACTTAAGGTTTTAATGCAGATTTATCATGCAAAATACCTCATTAAATCGCGTTGCGAATGTTGAATTGGTTTCACTTCCTACCCAGTAATCCTATTACAAGCAAACTAGACAATTCGCATATAAACGAAGCCCACTCAAGACCCTATGATACCTCAAAAAATAGTACAAAAAATGAAAGGGGATCTAATAGCTTCGATAAAAAAGAAAGATAGCCAATTCTATATCACAATAATGTTTCTATCACTATATTTTATTTTATAACCACACATAATCCTATACTCTCAGCTCCTTTCTGAATAGCCTTTATTTTTCAGTTGTATGTAAACTCATACCTTGTTAACACTTATTTTCTTTAACCTGTCTAGACGATAAAAAACGTGTAAAGGATAGCGGCCTACCACCTCGGCAAACCTCATATAGGTGGACTACCTGTCCATTCACGTAAGGCTCATACAGACAAATAGAACGGAGCTCACGCGTTCCAAATTGAAAGCATAAACTGCTTATATATGAACGCCGGGAGTCTACTAAACAAATAAGCAACGCTAATAAGGCCCATCTGATCGAAATATCTGGAACCTGGATATCTTCTCAGTTCTCGGACCATGAGTTAGCATTACCTGGAATGTCCTTGTTCCGCAACGACAGAAAATCAAGAATTGGGTGCGGAGTAGCCGTTTGCATACGTTGTTGCTTGGAGGTGCACCAAGTTTATAACCTCGAGTTTAACAATCTTGAGGAACCCATATGGTGCTCTGTAAGATCGTCCAGTACTTCGAGGTGTCGAGTCGGAGTCATTTACAGGAAGTCAGCTGCCGACATCGAATACGATATTCGTATGCTGGAAGGACTATCCCACTCTACTGGTCTAGGTTTCACACACATCCTGATTCTAAGGGACTTCAATCTACCTAGAGTCAACTTTGTGGTACACACGGATACTGGAGGCGATGCCTAAATTGAAGCTCATCGATGACTTGGGATTATACGAAAATGTGAGGTCGGCAAATCGTTGGAGAAACAGTTAGACACCATCGCGTTTAGACTGTGTATTTACAGAAGAAGAATTTCTAGTTGACAACCTCTCAATCCTGACTCTCTTTAGGAAACGCGATCACGCCGTTGTAGCTTTCAGTTTTATCAGCAAAACTGTACCAAGACATCCCACCAACTACAAGTGCTGCAATTTCAAACGGTTGAATCTGTCAGCTTTATAGGAATACCTACAACATGTGGATTGGGATATTCACCTCAGCTCGATGTGGATACTCATTGGGACTTCTTACTGCACACGCTCGCATGTGCTACAAAGCATTCAGTTCCACAAACGGTCCTCGAAAGCTACAAACAATCTAAAATCATCAAGAACCGCACTCTTGGCCTACTAAGGCGGAATACAAACGAACTGACAACGATGGAGCGTGCAGGCAATATCAACATATATGGAACATATGCACGAAGGCTGTAAGAGAAGACAGGCTTCAGTACCAGACAAAGCTTATGGACAAATTTGCCTCTAATCCTAAAAACTTATTCCATTATGCAGCCTCTCTTCGTCAGGCCAAAACTGGAGTTTCCCAACTGCTAGGTCTTAACGGCCCGACCAAGAACGATGGAGACGCCGCCAAACTTCCGACTGAACATTACTCCCAGACATTTCAACCGATTGACATCAACTATACTGGCGTTACTGACCAGCAAACATGATGGTGAAGAGATAACTTCAATCCACCCATGTCTGTAAGGCAGAACATTTTGTTTAATTACGGCTCCTTATGGTTTAGTGAGATGTCACGAACTTAAGGTTTTAATGCAGATTTATCATGCAAAATACCTCATTAAATCGCGTTGCGAATGTTGAATTGGTTTCACTTCCTACCCAGTAATCCTATTACAAGCAAACTAGACAATTCGCATATAAACGAAGCCCACTCAAGACCCTATGATACCTCAAAAAATAGTACAAAAAATGAAAGGGGATCTAATAGCTTCGATAAAAAAGAAAGATAGCCAATTCTATATCACAATAATGTTTCTATCACTATATTTTATTTTATAACCACACATAATCCTATACTCTCAGCTCCTTTCTGAATAGCCTTTATTTTTCAGTTGTATGTAAACTCATACCTTGTTAACACTTATTTTCTTTAACCTGTCTAGACGATAAAAAACGTGTAAAGGATAGCGGCCTACCACCTCGGCAAACCTCATATAGGTGGACTACCTGTCCATTCACGTAAGGCTCATACAGACAAATAGAACGGAGCTCACGCGTTCCAAATTGAAAGCATAAACTGCTTATATATGAACGCCGGGAGTCTACTAAACAAATAAGCAACGCTAATAAGGCCCATCTGATCGAAATATCTGGAACCTGGATATCTTCTCAGTT